TATTATTATTATTATTATTATTATTATTATTATTACCCAAATGGTGAACTTGAAATTTCTGGGGTAATATTTCCCCTTCTGGCATGAACTGAATCCCTATTCCCAGAACTGCCTGAATTAAGTTTTGGGTTGTTCACCCTCTGGAAGAAATCTGGAATTTGTTCCAGATTTAATTGTCACTTCTATCTCTTTCCAGAGTTTTAAATAGACAATTTTAAAAAGCAGTTTAATTGTGTCAATCTGGGACAAGAAAAATACTGATATTTTTACTTTGTGATTTTACTTCATTTCTTCAAAACTCTGAAGTTGATTACAAAACCCAGAATTGTGACCACAATTGATTCTATCATGACACCATGCCTGCCATTTGAGATTGTCAGCTGCAGTCACAGACAGAAAGAAAGTGACCAGTTTTTAACTTCCATCCATCCATGTATTTCTTCCCCATTGTATGAAATTTAGGTAAGAACATAAGAACCATGATGGATCAGATTAAAGGCTAGGTCCTGCATTCTACAGGAATTGATCAGATGCATCTAAGGGAAGGACATCCAATCTATGAAAAACCAGCTTTGTGAAGCAGCAAATGTTTGAAATGCCTGTATTTCTTAATTTGAGTATGACTGTGATATGAAAGGGTTAAATAGACAGAGAAAGAAAGTGTGTTTGAGTCAAAGGAAATACAGAGTTTTTCTATGTAGACTGATTATTTGTTAAACTGAATCTAACCGCAGTTGCAAACAATTTTGGGAAGGCAGTCTTGGGATATTTATATAGAAAGGAGGAATCCAAATTGTTTAAGTCTGATTGGTGCAAATTCTTTTAAATTTATAGTAAAAGCCTTTACTATTGTGATGGCATTGGTGGGGCCATTAATAAAGTGTCCTTAGAAATGAAATCCTCAGTACATGTTGGTAGCAAGACTTCCTTTTGCCTTGCAATACAACTCTTCCCCCAAATATTTCTGGCTAGCTGGAAAACATCAGCTCCCAGATCTACCCTGGAACTGTTTCCATCTGCACTAGAAACTGCTGTTTTGGTATGGATGAACGCAGGTGTGAAATTCTAGATGTGACCATGCATTAATTTTTATATAAAAGCCTGGGGGTGTGGAATAATGTTCTGATAGAAATTCTAATGCAATGTATCTAAATTTATTAATACATAATCCATACATTTGCAAGATAGTATTGATTTCATCTGCATTATAAATGTTGTAGTCTTTTTCAGGTGGGAGACAGATAAGCAGAATCATGATTTCTTATTATGGTTTTTACTTCAGCTTGAGCAACTCTTTGTTATGTGAACATATAATGTTGTTTATAATTGCTTAAAATATTTTTGAAGTCAGGCATCTTAAAATATAAATTGAGCATTCTTCTCAGTAAACACAGAAGATGTATAAACAGTCTCCTGTTTGCTCTTATCATTTGGAGAACATGATGTCCCCAATAATAAAGAGTCCCCTTGAATTGGCCTGACATCCACCTTTCTTGTCACAGCTTCATGTGGCTGACCTGCAAAAGCCGAGGACACAACCGGAACTGGCAACAGCCTACAGGGTCCAGCCAGCCACACACAAAGGGCATGGCATTTTCATTCTTTCTTGATATATTTAAAATGTGCTGCCTGCAGCTTAACTCTTTTTGTGCCAGTTTTATGCAGCATCACTTACCGTGGAATAGTGATTTCCAGTATGAAGGGGGCAGTAATCCCGTCCCTCTAACATAAGTTGCTTGTCTTTTTTCTAGATATACTCTGTTACCTTCTTTTGTGCTCTTGCCATTTTCAGTTTCCCCAATGAAAAAGTTACGATCATTTAAAAAATTTCTATTTTAAATAAGCCAATATTTTTAAAAAGTCAATCTGTAAAGAAAAAAAAATTAGTTGCCTTGTGCTGGTTGGTAAGAGATAACAAGTCCCCAAAGAAATAATCCTAAATTATTCTCAATGAGGCATTCTATCCTAATAAAGGAAGGCAGTCTATTAAGAATGGCTTGAGGCGGGTTACAACATAGTTAAAAACACATAATCATTGTAAAGATTCAATCTATAAATGCATGTATTAAAATGTATTTCTATAAAATGCACATATTAAAACATATTTCTATAAAATACATATTAAAATACACAGAACAAAGATTAAACACAGGACATGAGTTTAAAATTCATGAAGGCATAAATACCATATCAAGTGGTAATTACGGCTATTTATGTGTTATGTCTGGCATCCTGTTGGCTAGTTCCAACTAGAGTAGACTCACTCAATTAATTGTTGAATGGTAACAACAATTACTTGTTGAATTGTAACATCGACAGATCTCATTAATTCATTTGGTCTACTTTAGTTAATAGAGGCAACAGAATTCAGACCATTGGCAATTAAATCAATTTAAAATAATGCTAGTGAAATTCATTTCAGTTCAAAGATGTAACACAGCAAAATGTGGACAGGGCAAGTGATGGGGACATGGTAGAGATCTGAAGGTACCGATGACACTGCCAAGAACACATTTAAGCAGATCATGTCAGATGAAGCTTGGGGCAGGAGCTAAAAGGTTTTGAAGCTTAGGTGGCATTTTCACCAGTTTGTACCAGTCAAAAATACATAGGGACAAGGAGATTCTAAATGTAAAGGCTGGCTATATGGATTGTACAAAGAGTCGAGCACCATGATCTTTACTTCTTCGCTATAGGACAACTAGCTACTGAATACTGAATATCTTTGGTAGAATCATGGCAAATTTGATTAAGGCAGATTCAAACTAAGTCCTTGGAGGAGTGGAAAGGCTAGCTGGATCCACAGTAAAATGCACAATAACTAGGTGAAAGCAGGCAAGGCTTCTGGTGTATAGATACTAAGGCCCCATTTAGACTGCCATATAATGCAATTCAGTTTTAATTATAATTGTCAGTGTAGACTCATATAATGCAGATTGAACTTCATTGCTGAATGATATGAGTTTATATCACCATATAATCTGGATTATATGACAGTGTAGATATAGCCTAATGTGCAGAGTTTAGGAAACAAAGAAGGTAATCTTAATGCACTAGTGCAAGCAGGTGAATATGACTTTCTAGGTATAACAGATATGGAGAGATGACTCATATGATTACAATATAACAATGGAAGAATATAACTTCTTCAAAATTGCAAAAAAGAGGGGAGAGTAGCATTGTATGTCAAAGAGAAATTTGCTTGTACAGAAATACATGAGAGTGATCAGTATTTGGGCAAAAATAAATGGCATAAGAAATAAAAGCAAAATTTTTGGTAGATATCTCATAGGCTAATTAGACTTTTGAAGGTCCTCTTCAAAAACAAGTATCAGAAATCTCAAAAATTCAAATATTAGCAAAAGGCGAACAAGGGATTTTTAAGTCCTGAGTTTTATCCTTACCAATAGGGAGGAGTATGTCAGTTAAATCAGAGTAGTTGATACTTTAATGGGAAATGACAGTGCAATGCTGGAATTCACAATTATGAGACGAACATGGACTTCGGATTTCAGGAAAGCTGATTCAGAGATATATTAGGAAGAAACCCATCATTAGAGATGCTAAAGGGAAAAAAATCATCCAGCAACAGTGAGAGTTCTTCAAGCAGGTGTTGCGAAAGAAGAAGAAGAGGAGGAGGAAGAGGAAGAAGAAGAAGTAGAAGAAGAAGCAGCAGCACAATCCCATTGAAGAAGAAAAATGGGAAACATCTGGAAAAGCCAATGTGACTGAACATCAAAGTCAAGGAAGAAATGAAAATGTAAAAGAGCATATATAGAAAGAATGGAAGTAAAAACAAATCACCAGAGAATAGTTCAAAAGTCTAGCCCAAGCTTGCAGGAATACTTTAAGGAAAGCTAAATCTGGCTAGACAAGCAGGTTGCCAAGGGGGGCGGGGAGTATTCAGATACATTCGAACTAAGCACGGCCAACAAAGGATGGGGTCCCTGCTCAGTAAGACTGGTGTAATAGTAAGAGATCATCACATTATAATCAAATCTGTGAATAATCAAAACCATGAATTTCAAACCCACAAATGTGGAGGATAGCTGTCAAAAAGAATCTGTTTGCAAATATGTAGATAAGAATGCAGTGATTAGTAGGATCCAGCATGGATTTTTTGAGAGCAGATCTGATCTTTTAAAAAATATATATGGGTCACTACTGGTGAGAATGCTGTAGATTTGATTTTTAAAACATTGGCAAAGCATTTGATGAAGTCCACTGTTACTTTTTGATTAGCCAATTGATTAACTGTGAAATAGTAAGGAATGTTGTCAAATGTGTCCATAATTGACTGGACAATCATACTCAAAAGTGTTGCCATCAATGGCAACATTTCAAACAGGAGGAAAACCTCAAGTGGAGTGCCACAGGGCCAATAATTTTCAAGATTTTAATCAATGTCTTGGATTATGTGTTAAAAGGAATCCTTACCACCTTTGCAGATGTTAACAAAACTGAGAAGGATCGCTAGTAGGGGAAATTGTGGGAAAATTCAGACAGATAAAAGAAATAATGTTTTGTTTTCCTACAGCACATAGTTCAACTGTGGAACTCACTGCCATCAGGTGAATTATGGCTGTCAGCCTAGATTGTGTGAAAGGGAACTTGAGGATGGTTATTTATAAAGATGTGGACTTGAATATTGCCTTCAAGATCATATGTAGTACAACTCTCAGTGTTGGTTTCTGGGGTGTATAAGATGAACTGGCAGGTATATCCTGTTGGCGAGTTTCCCATATAGGCCATCATCGACTATGGGAACAGATTGTTGGACTAAACAGCCCTTTTATTTTCTCTAGCAGTGTTTGTTTTTCATTTCTATGTTTTTATTTTGGTTTGTTTTGTTAGCAACAAGGAAAGCCAGTTTTTGAAATATAAAGTAAGTAATTTACATATAGAAAATGCTTGTGAGTAGGCAGCTATACTATAAATGCATCACTGGAACCTAGAGATGGTTTTTAATCTCTGTGTTTCTGTTTTGTATCTTCTCCTAGTGTTGAGTATTCGAGGGGCTCAGGAAGAGGAACCAACAGACCCACAGCTCATGAGACTGGACAACATGCTCTTAGCAGAAGGGGTAGCAGGACCTGAGAAAGGAGGGGGTTCTGCAGCAGCGGCCGCAGCAGCAGCAGCATCTGGGGGTGCCGGCTCTGACAATTCTGTGGAGCACTCTGACTACAGAGCAAAACTTTCTCAGATTCGACAGATCTACCACACAGAGTTGGAGAAATATGAACAGGTACCAGTCATGTGTGTGTATAAGGTTCCTGAATAGCAGTAGAAGCCAAGTTTTCAGGTTTGTTGAAAATTAATATGGCCCGATTAATTTAATCCTACTTTATCCATGAGCTCATGGGCACAGTTCCTCAAAAGGAATTCAAAAGTGTGTTTGTTTTCTCCTTTGCATACATTACTTATAGATGTTTTTGAAATCCATTAGGACTTCTTGTTTCTCCTTCATTGGCTATTTATCTAAAATATATCACGGAACTTAAAAAAACACAATACTATGGAATTCCAAGACATAGCCATGTTAGTCTGGACCCTCTGAGGCTAAGGAAGGAAGTTGATAGCATAAGCCAACCTGATGTAATGCTTTGAGCATTGTCCTATAACTCCAGAGACTAGGGTTCAATTCCTTACATAATTTTACAAATCTTATGCAAATCACATACTTCCAGGTTCAAAAAATCCCACAATATGTTTGCCTTAGGGTCACAATCAGTCAGAAATGACTTGAAGGCACACAACAACAAAAACTTCATCAAATGTAGTGCCTGTAAACAGATATTTTTACCCATGAATGAGTCCTTCACTCAAAGTAATCTATGGGTCTTTTACAATCAAGAAGCTACCATGAAACATGTAGGCTCTCCATGCCACATGTGTTCTTCATTTCAGACAGAGCTAAGAAAAGTATACAGTAATTATAGCACCCATTTTACCAAAGTTTATGTCCCCATGTCCACCTGTTCTCCAGAAGGTGAAGAAAGTTGGTCGAGAAATCATGAATTGGGGCACATAAAGACTTTTGTGCCATAACTATTTTGTGAGTTATATGTCGTAAAATCTGCTAAATTTTGGGTTTTGGACTTGGCAGATTTATAGGAAAAAATTATGGAGAAAATAGGGGCAAGCATTTTTGTTATACCATTAGCAACAATGAAGAGAAAAACTATGAACCTCATAGTTATAAAGAATGATAAGTTGATTTCATTCACTTCTGCAAAATGATACTATTTTCTCTCTGTTTTAACAAAAGAGAAGAGTGCAAATTAATCAGCACTTTGACATCTTGAGTCTTTCCCTTGTTGTTGCATCTAGCTGGAGGTTTTGTTGGTCTGGATAACTCTTCACGTTCTTACTCAGATGTCTCCATAGAGCTCTGACGGTACGTTAGGTATGCTTGAAGTGCTTGAAGCAAGTGCTTGAAGCAAAAGTCGAATATTATGTTATTGTAGGTGTGACAAGCTACCTTCTTTAGTCACAGAATGCTAAAATGCGTGAAGAAAGAAGGTCTTTTAGACTACCTTGCACCAGGAGAATACCACCAGAGCTTTATGGAGGTCAATAAGAGTCCTCATATGGCCTAGGAATCAAGAAACTTGCTTTCCTTTGATTCATTCTCCCTTCATACACTATATCCCCTGTCCTTCCTCCTTCTCTGTTCAATATGCCTCTTAGACTGATTTGAGGAAGTCTCTGCAGCATAGCAAAAATGTGCTTTCAATGAGTATGGCCCCCAGAAACCAGAGGTGTTTGCTGCTGTGTGGGGCAGTATGATGTCTTCGGCAAACTGAATTTTAATTATTATCTATTTGCCCTTTCATATTAGAGATCTTGATGAACTCTGCTTCTCTAAAGTCTAGTTTTTATCCTGATTATCAGACATCCCCCCCCCCCCCCCCACCCCGAAAAAGCTGGAAGTTATAGTTTTTTCTTGTTTAGTAAGCTCTCAGTGAACTGGCACCCACGGGAATTGGTAGATGCCAGATGAATGTAGTTTCTGTTTACTTGAGAATTGTTTTTAAAATAGGCCTAAGTAGTGCAATATATCCCATACTATACCATATCATAAACTATATTGACTCGATATTAATATTAAAATACAGTAATAAAAAGTATATTAAGACAGACCAATGTAATGTAATATGATTTTACTGTATTATAAAAAAAAAAGCTTTGTGAAGGCTGTATGATGCTCTTGATCTTTTTGCATGTTGACTGAAAGTTCTGGCTGCTTGTGTTCTGGTTAACCAAGAATCCATGGCATTTGGAATGAATGGATTCATATCATCCTCAAACCTCAGATAGTTAATCTATTCTACTCTTCCTAAGCAGAGACTGGATGTCAGGGTGCTTTAATTGTGTGTTTCTCCATGGCAGGGCGTTGGACTGGATGGCCCGCATGGCCTATTCCAACTCTAAAATTCTTTGATTCTATAAAAGTCATTAGTTACCAAATATTTAGCAAGCATGGCTTCTGTAAGAATGAAGTAGAGCTGACTGCAGTGTATGGTCAATGCTGCTGAAAAGTAAATATGGATATTCTGTAGCCTTATTGGTAGGCATTTATTGGAGGCAAATTAGGGGCTAAGTGTGTAAGCAGGTGATATCTTCTCCCTTGTGATTTCTGCTTAGTGGCAGGGGCCATTTACTGCATTCTGCCCCACAGTCCTCAGCTCAACATCTTTCTGGCAATGTCAGCTCTTATCCAGGAACTCATATATTTCAACACACGACATTGTTTCATCGATAATGTCAACAATTCTTAACTAGGTAAACTTCTTTTTTCACTGATATTGTAGAATCCATAGATGTGGAGGATAGCAGCAGTATGCACATTACATGTTTTATGTCCTGGATTATGCTAAAATCTCAAAATAAAATTACAGTTCATATCCACAAAGTTTACATCCATGGATTTAACTATCCATGGCTTTCAAATATTCCCCTCTAAAATCCCCAAAACAACCCCTTAATTTTGCAATTTTAGATAAGGAACGCAATTTTACTAGTCCCTTGTATAAAAATGAGACATAACCATCCATGGATTTGGTATCCACAGGAATAGGGCCCTGAAACCAAACCTCAGTGTATACCAAAGGCAAACTGGCCATGCACTCTAATGTTTAATGGTTTTGTTTTGGAAATAAAATAATATTTAATGGTTTTGTTTTGGAAATAAAATTATTGCAAGGAAACAAAGCAAAAAGTGAAAAATCGGTCCTTTTCCCAAGTCTTTTAATTTTTTGTTTTGAAGGAGTGTGTGCATGTATAAGTACAACCTATTCCCGACAAGGGTTCCCTTCACACCAAAAAGGGCTAGCATACTTCTGACAATTTTGTTAAACTTCAGAGGCACAAACTCCCAGAGGCACAAATTGGAGAGTAAGAGTGAATCCTTAGAATCTGAAAAGTTGAGTAATTCTGAGGGCTGCACAATCCTGAAATGAAGATACCAAAGACTGAACATGGAGTCTCAGCTCTCTAAGTAGAGAATGTTTGTCATCTTTGTAGGCCATACTTTTTAAATAAGAACTGAGACACCGAAATTCAGTTGTGAAATAAAAATGTTCTGCATATCTCAGAAGTTCTCAAAACACTTTTGATTTAGAAGTCTGCATTCTTTTTAACATACATTTGTTGTAAACATTTTCCAAATACAATAAAAACTGAAAATATTCAAAGAAAAAAGAAGAAAGGAAAAGAAAAGGAAAACCAGAATACAAAAAAAATACAGCCAAAAATAAACATGACTTTTGGCTTTCTTTTTGCTATTTTACGTGCATAAAAAATAACCATGCCTCTCACTTTAACAGTCTATCGTTCATTGCTTTCAATAACCAATCTTACTAATTATCAAAATCAAGTCTTTTTCATTTTTCTATTAAAGGTCTATAAGAGGTTTCCTGTCTTGTAGATATTACATCAGTGCTTCTTCTCTAATCGAGATAATTTGTTCATTTCTTCTAAATCAGTCCATTTCAACAACCATTCCTCCATAATAGGTTTTGTTCCATTCTTCCATCTTGGTACATACACCAGTTTTGCTACCATAGTCACATGCTGAAGCAGTCTTCCATGGTTCTTTTCCAACTTCATCCATAAATCCCAAAAGAATACATTCTACTTTTAATTTAATGTTAACTTTTAAGATTCTCTGTCAAATTGTGTACTTGCACTGAGAATGTTTTAACCTTTTCACATGTCAACCATATAAATAAAATGTTCGTTTATGAAATTTACATTTCAGACATACATTTCAAACACAGTTATGCAATCGAGACAATTTCTCAGGCATCATAAATCAATGATTCATAATTTTGTAAATAAATTATTTAAGATCATAGCATAACATGAATTTATTATAACCACAGCTTTTAGCATTGTTCCAACTGTACTTTATTTCCAAAATTCTTAGCCTATTTTGCCGTCTTTCACTTGTTCTTCTTCCATGTCAAATTTTAATAAGAGCTTATACATTTTAATAATCACATGTTCTTTATAGGAAACAATTACAATTCGAACTCTGATGTATTTTGTTCAAAACTATGTGTATTTTTGTCCATCTTAAATCTTTCAAATAACAGTGAATAAGAAAACTGTTGAAAACTATATCTCTGTGTAAGTAGCTACTCATTCAGTTTAATTTTATGTTCTCCTTGGTAGTTCTTTAAAAGATATTGGTAAGTTAGCAATCTCTCTTTTTCTGTTGTTTCTCTTCTATAATATTCATTATCCTGGTTTACCATAAAAAATAAAGCTTTACAGAGTGAATGAAATTTGTATGCTAATGGGAGTAAAAAAAAAAAAAAGAGGGGGGCAGATAAGTGACCAATTAAAGAGCTTGTAAAATTAAATGCTATGCTTTGGGAAAAACTTTCCTCAACTTGACAGTTTCTAGATATGTTGGACACTTCCATTCCCAAGCAACAATGATATTATAGACTCATGTGGGAAAATCTACATTGGAAGAAGCCAATTGTAAAAAATCTTTTTCGATGAGATCCTTTTTGATGAGTCAACAACAAAATGTGGCCTTACAGTCAGTAGTTTCATGATAAATCTCTTAGTGTTCAATGACAAGCAAATTAATCACATTTTCCCAAATTACACTATGTCTATTTTAGTGTTGATGGCAATTGATTAATTTCAAATTTCAAATGTTCAATTTTATTCAGTAAATTTTGAGACCTGCTGTTCCAAACTCTTGTAGAGAGGGTACCTGCATTTGATGCACATCTCAATGTCAGTCTGAGTTATACTGATGATTCCTGAAAATAAAAATACCAGAGATGTTATTTAGAGTGTCTATAGATATCCAAGGGGCAGCAAAAAATAAATGAAGGATAAGTTTTACTCATCTCTGGTGCTATCAGCATTCTCCAAATCACCAAGAGACTTCTCCGGTCCTAAGGGTTCTCCTTGCTCTTTCTCTTGTTGTCCCAGGCATGTAATGAGTTCACTACCCACGTGATGAACCTGCTGCGAGAGCAGAGTAGGACCCGACCTATCTCACCCAAGGAGATAGAGAGGATGGTGAGCATCATCCACCGCAAATTCAGCTCCATCCAGATGCAACTGAAACAAAGCACATGTGAAGCTGTCATGATCCTGAGGTCTCGATTTCTTGATGCACGGTGAGCTTTATCCCAGATAGACAAATCGCCACTTGTTCAGCTGCTAATGATGAGTAAAAGGTACCTTCAGATAATCACCTGAAAAGTTACTTTTAAGGTTATTTTAAGAACCTTGGGAGAAAGTTTTGTGAAACCACATGTATCATTGATTTTGACATTAAAAGATGTCAAAAGTATGGAGACATGAGAAAATCTCAAAATTATAGAGAGATATTTTCTTTGCTTCCAGAGCAATTCTGTTTGATTGACTCTTGGTATACACAGCTAAAATGTGTTTGGACTCTCCAATTATAAAACAGTGTCCCTATGTCACTGATGCCAATTATCCTTCATGTTTTTTCTGACTAGGCGGAAAAGAAGAAATTTCAACAAACAGGCTACAGAAATCCTCAATGAGTATTTCTATTCCCACCTCAGCAACCCCTACCCCAGTGAGGAAGCCAAAGAGGAACTAGCCAAGAAATGCGGTATCACAGTTTCACAGGTATTGAACCCAGATGTCTGGTCTACTCGATAATTCTATCTGTTTATCTGTTTATCCATTTGATTATATGATGGAGCAGGATAAGGAAGGAGTCATTAGAACCATGCAAAAGTCTTTGCATCAGCAGGAAGTACTATAATGAATGTTAGGCAGAGTTATTATCGAAAGTAAGTTATTATGAATTTTGCAGACAATCGTTGGTTTCATTAGATACATGAAATGCTATCAAGAATTTCAAGTATCTATACAATATGCTTAGCTATGGATGAAATGACAGACAACAAGATCAGAGGAAAATCAATTGCAGAAGGTATGAAACTGACAATTATATTGTGAGTAGTGGGCACTCAGAAACATTCATCCAGTAACTCTCTGGTTTATTTAATGAGCCCGGAGTGACAAGGGTCTGGAGCAGGAGTCCCCAAACTTTTTAAACAGAGGGCCAGGTCCTTCAAACTGTTGGAGGGCCTGATTATAATTTGAAAAAAAGCATGAATTCCTATGCACGCTGCACATATCTTATTTGTAGTGTAAAAAACACTTAAAAACAATGCAATAATTAAAATGAGGAACAATGTTAACAAATATAAACTTATTAGTATTTCAATGGGAAATGTGGGCCTGCTTTTGGCTGATGAGATAGGATTGTTGTTGTTATGTACTTTCAAGTCATTTCAGACTTAGGTTGACCCTGAGCAAGGGCCAGGTAAATGACCTTGAAGGGCCGCATTCGGCCCCCGGGCCTTAGTTTGAGGACCCCTGATCTAAAGTATATGTAGTGACTCTCACCTCGCCAAGAAATCTATTGACATGCTTAGGCTGCACAAATGTAGAAGTATCCATGAACACTGGACAAGCAGATACAAAGGTTAAATTCACCAGAACTGTATCAACTGTAGTGTCTACATCACAGCAAATTCAAGCAAATTTATTTTCAAAACGATGAGCCAATTCTTTACAACATGCTGTTTAGGGAGGTACATTCTTTTGAGGGGGCAGGTTGCACAACCACCCAGAGCTTCTGTGCTGATAGAATACTATTGGTTTGAAATGCCTTCTTTGCTGTCTTTATTGCCCCTGCATAGGGCTTCAGAAAGATTTATGCTTGTTTCCAGTCAGAATCACTTTGAGTTTTCTGCCACGGTCTTGCATGTTTTGTTACTACCAACTCCTTTGTAAAGTTGGAGGCTGGTTTGGCTCCTCTCCATGAGAAGGAATGCTTCAGACCAATTGTGACTACCACCCTAGTCATTTCCCCATTCCAGATATTAATCAGGGGTTCAACAGGATTATTTGCCATGGCAGCAGAAAACTCCCCTAGAGCTGTCAGGAATCCATCTGGATCCGTAGGCTTTTGGGATGGACTATCTTAATAGGTTGCCTACCTCTGCAGGGGCTCTAAGTCCTAGCAAGCCTAAAACTGACCATGAGTTATCTGTCCATGACAACAAAGCAACAGATCTCTTGTCCATTCCAGATCACCATCAACCCTATCTCCTGTACAGAACATATGACCTGAAAAATGTGTCCAGTGCCATGTGTGGGGCCAAAAACCATTTGGGACAGATATATGGTTGTTATGTAGGACCAGTGTAATCCATAGTCTGTCCTAACATGGATCCTTCCTCCAGAAAATATGCATAAAAATGAAATGTAACAACCCTTTTTGTAAAGGTGGCGAAATTACTTTTCACAGTGTAGTACAAAAAATCTACTTTTGCTTCAGGGGGAACATAAAATTTTCCATCCCATCTGCAATGAGAACTTCTAAATCATGATGGGATGGGGCCCATCATGCCCTCATATTCTCCCTAAAGCAAGAAATTGTTATGAAACATCTGTTACATCTATTCATCACCAATACATTTTCCACATATCAGTGACTCATCCTAGCCTTGATAACATGTACATCTTTGGAGGAGGGTGCTAGACTGGATCTAGTCCAAGTTTAAAGCATTCTTTTATATCTATATCTATATATCACATTGTAAGATGAGTAAATGGATGAATCTCTGAGGTTGAAAGTGACAATGTTAGGTTCTGTAGTTATGATGCTGCCAAAGTAGATATTTGATTTTGGATTTGTTATCATTACTGTGTTATTATCTTAATCCGCTGGTAGGATGTTGTTTAAGAGGGTCTGTAAGTAGGTGATCCACTGAAGGGAAGGGAAAGGAAGGGAAGCTATTATCCAGGATAGTTTGCAACTCATTGATGATATTAATGGCTTTGGCTGCTAGCTCTATGTGAAAATGAGTGAAGTTCTGTAATTTCCTCTTCTAATTTTGAACTGTACCGTATTTCATTGCATAATAGTTGCACAATTATGTGACTATTACGCAAGAGGGGAAAAAGCTTTTTTTGTTCCAAATTAGTAATTTTTTAATAAAACGATACTGAAAACAACTTGAGAACATATACAAGACTGTCCGGAAAACAGATGTATATAGTTAAAGCTTGAAGCAGCTCTTCCGGTAGGGGGTGGGCAGCAAATGGAGGAACATCCAAGTGAGTGAGTGGTGGGAGGATGGTTGAGAACCACCTTGGGTGTCCAAGTGAGTGAGTGAGTGCATGCATGAGTGCATGAATGCATGTGTGATTGAGTCTTTGGATGGGCAAGCAGGTGGGTAGGTGGGTGTGCAAGCAGGTGGGCGGGCAGGTGGGCAAGCAGGTGGGTGGGCAGGAGGGCAAGTGAGTGAAGTGGGTTTTGGGCGGGCAGGCAGGCAGGCAAGTAGATAGACATTTATAACAGGAAGGCTGACTACCGGTAAATTAATTACATGACTATTATGTGAGAAATTTGAAATTACAGGGTTCCCAAAAATGAGGGTGCGACTATTATGTAATGAAATACGGTATTTCTGGTTGTGCGTCTATTCTTTTTAATCTGACTGTCTTCCTAATTGGATGGTGTAAACCTCAAGTTCTGAGTATATGTGCAGTGTATCTGAATAAATGTTCTTTTATTAGCCCAAAGAACATTTTATGTTGTGTTCTAAGTAGAGTTGCAGGTTTGCAAGCTTCTATAATGGCCAATAGTTTTCTATATATTAGTTTTACTGTTAATGTAGCTGCACAGTGTTGTATGGAATAATCAAGGTTTAGGTTAATTATAGTGTGAACATTACTGAAGACCTGATGTAACTTCTTAGTTGTCCAGAGGGTATTGATTTCATTAAATATAGGCAAGACTTTTGGGAGCAGAAGCTGACAAAACGTAGTCTAGAATAGATCAACCATGAATATTTTGGTATACTGTGGAGTCATGTGAGGTGTAGGGCAGTGACAGTTTTGGATGAATACATTGTAGCAGAATTCATTCACCGGTATTTAGATTTTTCCTGACTTGTGTTAACCTGGGGTATATCCCGGCTGGTGAATTACTCAGATTTTCTCCAGTCTTATATTAACCTGGGGATACAGCCACACTAAATGCCCTCTTTCATTTTGTGGCTGCTTGCCTGCTGATTCTGACCCCATACTTAACCTAACTGGTTATTGTAGAGGTACTCTTTGTCAGCTTTGGCCCTGATTTACTCCAGAGTAAGGCAAGCGAACAGGAATTTCTACAACATCCCCAAAGAAAAAGAGAGTGGCAGAGATGTAACCACATTCATTAGTTTGGAATAACTTGTGCTTGAGAACCCCATGTTGACTTTTAGTGATCATAGCATTCTTTTTTAGTATTAATTCCAGGCTGATTGGGTGGTAGTTGTTTTGAGTCCTGTTTTCCCGCCTTTTGAAGACAGAGGCAATATTTACCCTCATTCACTCTACTGGAGCTTCTCTTGTTCTTTGGGAATTCTCTATTTTTTTCATTGGATCTGAGATTACATTTGATAATTCTTTTAAAAGCTTGGATGTAATTAATCTGTCCATAGATATTTAAATTCACTTAGACTAAACAATATTCATGTACTCTTTACTTATTACAACATCTGCTCCATTTCCCCAAGTTGAACATTATTTTTCTTTTTGCAA